GTTGGAGACCAACTCAGATTGTTGGAGACCAACTCAGATTGTTGGAGACCAACTCAGATTGTTGGAGACCAACTCAGATTGTTGGAGAAAACCTGCCAGCAAGCAAGTTCACAGTCTGTTATTCCAGTTATTGAAGTTAACTCTCTTTCTGGAACTCCCAGAAGAGTGTCCTTCATCTCAGGCTTAACAAACTCAGAGTTTTTCACTAACCTTGCTTCCTGGAATAGGGCCCAGGTCATTACATACAGAAACAGTAACTTGTTTACCTTTCCAAATGGCATAATGTAGTGTTCAATATGAGGACCAGTCACGGGCTGAGGGTGTTCATTATCATCTGCTATCACAATAGTGACGGTGGGATAATATTTTCTTATGCTGTCAATGAGATCTTTCAGTTTGTCATAGCGCAGAAAGGTCTTGGTGGCGATGGTAACTAGAGCTGTAATATTGTACTCTAAGGGAAACAAGAACAACAAATTAAATACTCATGTGACTTTTAAACACTGTGCATCAAAAAGCTAAACTTTACATGTGTTCATAGTAACTGCTCACGAACCTTTTTGGTATCCCGAGTTGTAAAGTTTCGGATTGTTTCTGTGTTCAATTTTGATGGTGAAAAATGACTGGTGGTCTTTAGTTGCAAACTGAACTGCAGAATGAAACAAACAAACAAAATGATAAAGGCCAGCTGCAGAATTTATGGGCAGTTATCGTTGTGAAAATAACCTTTGCACATGAAGCTGTAAGCTGCATTTGCCTAAGCACAGCCCCGCCCTCAATGACATGTCTTAAAAAAACCCACTGGAGAAGCCTTCACTCACCTACTTCATTGGCTTTTAAACCATGTGGTCAAGTTGAATTTCTATTGGAACCTTCTGGACAAGAATATTCCTCAAACATTACATTGGTCAACTCCTTTTTATTTTTGTTGTGGTCAGTCCTATTTGTATATATTAGAGCTATTTCTTATACTTTATAAACATTGTAATATATCGATTTATTTAATTTAGTTCTGAGTATTCTGATCTGATTAAAGTAGTTTCTTTCTTGTCTTTACAAGTGTGACATATGCTGATGTTATCATCAACTAGGAGCTGAAAAAAACTGAATAGTACACTTACATTTTAACTTCCTGAAATACATAATGAGTCAAGAAATAGCAGTAAATGTAAAATGCACACAGCTGTCAGACTGCCATCTGTAACCTCCAGTTCACGGATATCATCTATCATTCTGTAATGGTTAATGCTTAGCTAGCATGTGTAAGCTCTTTAATCAAATACTGTCAATGCTTTAAAAAAATCTACTTGAGTTTAAATCTCCTTAAATTTGTATTCTAATGCCAATTTATTTATTTAATAGATAAGAAAATAATTGCTTGTATAAAGTTACGTACCAAACTTTGCCTTCCTTTCGTCTCATTGTGGGTGGGGGTGCACTAACTGTTTATATGTTCAAACAGGTTCATTCTACATTGCACTTTTAGTATCAGTTTCATATCCACATCATAGCTTTACTTGTGTCTGCTGTCTTCGGATGAAACACGATGTTTGTATAGGTGACAAACTGCAGTTGTTTGTTCAGAGCAGAGAGAAGAGGACTCGACAGAACCATGTTCTTCTCTCCCACTCCCTGGATGGAGACCATGTCCACCTTAGCAGCAACATCAAAACTTCCAAGTGTTGCAGTCAAAGATACCTGTTACAGGATAAGCATTGGTTGCAATAAAGAATTAAAAATAATCATATTTAAAATGATGACAAAAAAAAAGTGCAAGACAATAATTGAGGCATTACCATGTGAACTGATCTTGTTTCTTCTTTAAGGGCTAAACCTGCAGAGAAACGGTTATTTTTGGAGACAAAGTGAAATTATATAAATAGAAGATATAAAAATATGCACCCATTTAAATAGCAGTTTTATTTCCTCTTTTTAACAAGAAAGTGCTCATGTAGAACACAGACGGTTAAGTTTTGTTTTGCTTTCTGTAGCTTTAAATAAAATGACCACACATGCACTTAACCTTCCTGTGATTGTTCTGCATCCTGTATTATACCATGCACAGTGTTTTCAATCAAAGTAGGGCTCAGTGTAACTGACCTTTTAAAGGTAAAAGTTAGACTGGGTTTCAATGGTTTTTTGCATGTTAAATATGCCTTTACCAGGAATGATGATTGTCTTTAGGGGTCGCACCAGCACCCCTTGGGTAGGATACTGAAGAGGACTGTTGGCCTCAGCTACATTAAGCACATCTGCAGGATTGTAGGACCTTTGGAAACATGACAATGATATACACACACTACAACATAAAAGCTGTGAGTTTTTACAGTTGTAGTCTGTACACTTAGAGCAGTATAATTTATTTGATCAACTCAGGCTTGATAGTGAATTTAACAGGTGACATCTAAAAACCTAAATTCACGTATCCTCTTGTATATCTAAAATAAATAAAATATCTTACTTTAAAATATGATCATAGACAATTGCAGATTGTATCAAGAATGCCGTTCTGCTAAGTATATTAAAAGCCTCTTGGACGAAAAGGTTGCTTGATGTGGGAAAATTTCCAGATTGTCATCTAAAACCTTATAAACCATTCCTTATTTAATCAAAAGATGCAAAACATGCTTCACCTTTCTTGAAGGTTGTTGTACTCATCAGCTCTGTGCTGCTTTACACTTTCAGGATCAGGGTGGAGCTCCAAAAATGCTTGATCAAGATTGTGAGCCCACACGTGTGGAAAGAGCAGATTTGACAATGGTAGGTGAAAGGTTTCTTCATCAGCCTGGCATACGCAGGCATTTTGAGCCAAATGACTGTTGGAAATAACAAAGAGTTAAGTAATAGGAACAAAAACTTGAATTTAAAAGAAAAGGTCACACTTACACACCTTGCCATTTCCTCCTTTATGTGGTAGGAAATGTCCTTATAACCATTTGTGGCGTCTCCAATTTTCCCAGTGAAGAATTTTTTAATGGGCGTAACCTGGCTTGAGCTTATGTCAACCTCTTTGCTGCTAGGTTTCCAAAAATAACAGAGGGCGGCCAGAAGAATTCCACTAAGCAAAGCAAGTTGAACACACTTCCTAGAACTGTTGTGCATCTAGAAAGAAAATTTGTATAGATATCATCAGGTTGATAAAGCAAAGTGGCTTGGGAGGGACAGACATTATGTGTTTCACACTGGAATTACTGTGTTTCAGTGGGTCATTGGAAACTTGAAATGAGCCTACACTTTATTAGTGCTCAATGGAAAACCTATCTAGGTGCAAGGCCGAAAGCCAGACATGCACACTGCAAACATGTGCTGAAGACTACAGTACAAAGTACTAAACCATAAAATAATTGAACTTGTAGACTTATAATTTCAACGATAAAGTTTACCTAACTTTATTAGGACTGTCAAACCTTATTTGAAGACGTATTATGCTGCAGATGCACAAATCATCACGAGGAAATTATATCAAAACTCTAACTCCAGTATAGCTTTTTAGAGCTGCTCTACTACTGTACTGCTTATTTTGTCTTTCTTGTCTTTTTGAAGCATGTGGGTCTGCTGTTGACACAATTTTATGTGGTCTGAACTGGAAAATCATTGGTTGTGTAACCACAATCAAATTCAAATTCTATTTGTCACGTACACAGTCATACACAGTACGATGTGCAGTGAAATGCTTAGACAACTGCTCGTGACCTAAAGAAAACAAAAAGGAAAAGGCTATGAATAAGATAGGAAATAAATATGAAAAATTAAAAAGGGTAAATTTAACTAGGAAGGAATAAAATATAAAAAAATGAAGGTTAAAATGAAATAACTGTACTGTATCTCAGTATTGGATGAACTGGGGGATATACATGTAGCAATGATATTACAAATGAACTGAGTGCTTGTTGAAGACTTCTGCACAGCAGTGTTTAAAGATATAACTTCGCATTTTGGAGTGCTACTGTACTCTCTCTTTCAGGCTTTAGTTTCAGACTTTAGTTTACAAATCAGCAGGTACAGGATGTAACGCGCAACAGTTCTTATCTATATATAGATATATATATATATCTATATATCTATCTATATATCTATATATATCTATATATATATCTATATATCTATCTATATA